GACTGGTCCCTTCTGACAATGTAACCAAAGAAGATGAGATGGAGTCTGGCCATTCTTGCTTCTAAGGAGTATTGGGGCTGCACTTCTTCCAGGACAGGTTTTTTTGTTCTTCTGCCAGTATATGGTATTTTTGGTATCCTTCACTAACACCACAACTCAAAAGCATCAACTCTTCTTCAGTCATCCTTATACATCGTCCAGTTTTCACATGCATATGAGATGATTGAAAATATCATGGCGTAGGTTAGGCGTACCTTAGTCTTCAAAGTGACATTTTTGCTCTTCAACATTTTAAAGAGATCTTTTGCAGCAGATTTTCCCAGCGCTATATAACATTTGATTTCTTGACTACTGCTTCCATTGGCATTGATTGTGGATACAAGTAAAATAAATCCCTGACAACCTTACTCAATCTTTTCTCTATTCATTGTGATGTCGCTTACTGGTCCAGTTGTGAGGGTTTTTGTTTTCTTGATGTGGAAGTATAATCCATATTGAAGACTATAGTCTTTGATCTTCATCAGTAAGTGCTTCAAGTCATCTGCACTTTCAGCAAGGTGAGTTTTCCTCCAATCCTGATGCTGTGTTCTTTTTCATACAGTCCAGTTTCTTGGACCATTTGCTCAGCATACTAAGTATGGTAAAAGCATACAACCTTGATGCACAACCTTCCTGATTTTAACCATGCAGCATCTCCTTGTTTGTTCAAATGACTGCCTCTTGGTCTATATACAGGTTCCTAATAAGCACAATTAAGTGTTCTGGAATTTCCATCCTTTGTAATATTATCAATAATTGGTATGATCTATACAGTCGAATGCCTTTGCATAGTCAGTAAAATACATTCTTTGCTTTCAGCCATGATCCCATTGACATCAGCAATGATAACCCTCATTCCACATCCTCTTCTGAATCCAGCTAGAATTTCTCAAAGTTCCCTATGTAGTGTTGCAGCCATGTTTGAATTATCTTCAGCAAAATTTTACTTGTATCTGTAATATTAATGATATTATTTGATAATTTCCACATTCTCTTGGATCACTTTTTTTCAGAATAGGCACAAGTATCGATTGCTTCCAGTCAGTTGGCCAGTAGTAGCTGTCTTCCAAATTTCTTGGCATAAATGAGAAAGCACCTCCAGTGCTGCATCCATTTGTTGAAATATCTCAATGGGTATCCCATCAGTTCCTGGGGCCTTGTTTTTCACCAATTCCTTCAGTCCATCTTGGTCTTCTTCCTTCAATACCATTGGTACCTGCTCATTTGCTACCTCCCAAAATGGCTGAACACCGACCAATTCTTTTTCGTACAGTGACTCTGTATATTCCTTCCATCTTCTTTTAATGCTTCCTACGTCATTCAGTATTATGCCCATAGAATCCTTCAATATTGCATTTTGAGGCTTGAATTTTTCCTTCAGTTATTTCAGCTTAAGAAATGCCAAGGTTCTTCCCTTTTGGTTTTCTAACTCCAGGTCTTTGCACATTTCAGTATAATATTTTACTTTGCCTTCTTTCTTCTAGAGCTGCCCTTTGAAATCTTCTGTTCATGTCACTGCCATGTGAAGGGTTAAAAAAACAGTGAAAGGACCATTTCCCAACTGGAAAGGGGCAGGCAGCAAGTGTCAGGGTGCTAACCCCAGCATAAGCTGGGGTGCTGGGTAAGAGAAAGTGAATGTGGGGGAAGAACTATCTCTGAACATAGTCAACTTCATACAGGGCTATAGAAATCCCCAAAGTATCCAGTTAACCTTTTCCTACTGTCTGACAGCTACCTGGCCAACTGACTGGAAGAGATCATATTTGTACCCATTCCAAAGAAAGGTGATCCCACAGATTGTGGAAATTATCAAACAATATCATTAATATCACATGCAAGTAAAATCTTACTGAAGATAATTCAAAAATGGTTGCAGCAGTATATTGACAGAGAACTTCCAGAAATGCAAGCTGGATTCAGAAAAGGACATGGAATGAGGGATAGTGTTGCTGATGTCAGATGGACCTTGGCTCAAAGCAAAGAATACCAGAAAGATGTTTACTTGTGTTTTAGTGACTATGCAAAACCATTTAATTGTGTGGATCATAATAAATTGTGGGTAACATTGAGAAGAATGGGAATTCCAGAACACTTACACTCATGAGGAACCTGTACATAGACCAGGAGGCTGTCATTCAAACAGAAAAAGGGAACACTGTGTGGTTTAAAATCAAGAAGGGAGTGTATCGGGGTTGTATCCTTTCACCATACTTGTTCAATCTATATGCTGAGCAAATAATCCGAGAGCTGGACTATATGAAGAAGAACATGGCATCAGGATTAGAGGAAGAATCATTAACAATCTGTGATATGCTGGCAACACAACTTTGCTTGATGAAAGTGAGGATGACTTGAAGCACTTACTGATGAGGACTGAAGAATACAGTCTGCAGTAGGGATTACATCTCAATATAAAGAAAACAAAAATCCTCACAACTGGGCCTATAAAAGCAGCATCACAATAAATGGAGAAGAGACTGAAATCATCAAAGACTTCACATTGCTTGGTTCTGCAATCGATACCAATGGAAGCAGCAGTCAGGACATGAGATGACATATAGCACTGGGCAAATTGGCTGCAAAGGACCTCTTTCAAGCGCTAAAGAGCAAAGATGTCTCCTTGAGGACTAAGGTGCACCTGACACAAGTCATGGTGTTTTCAATCACCTCATATGCATGTGAAAGCTGGACAATGAATATGCAAGACTGAAGAATTGATGCTTTTGAGTTGTGGTGTTGGCAAAGAATGCTGCAAGTACCATGGACTACTAAAAGAACTAACAGGTCTGTCCTGGAATGCTCCTTGGAGGCGAGAATGGCCAGACTTCATCTCACATACTTTGGTTATGTTGTATGAAAGGACCATTCCCTGGAGAAGGATGTCATGCTTGGTAAGGTGGAGAGTTGACAAGAGAGGGGAAGGCCCTCAACGAGATGCACTGACACGGTGGCAGTGGTGATGGGCTCAAGTATAGCAAAGATCATGGAGCTGGCACAGGATTAAGTGGTATTTCATTCTGCTGTGCATAGGGTCGCTATGAGTTGGAGATGACTCGATGGCACCTAACAACAACAACAACAACTGTCTGCTTTCCAGATCCCCAATCTCAGAGTTCAGTGAATATGAAACCAAGTCAGGTGGCTCAGGGGCCAAATGCTGTTGGCTCGGTGACTCAGGAGTGGACCTACCTCAGGCAAGCTCCTTATACTCTCCTTGCCTCCATTTTTTTCAACTGTGAAATGAAGTAGCAGTCACAGGACTGACCTTATGTGTCTGCTAGGAGGAGTAAATGAGACAATGTGTGCAAAGGGCTTTGTTCCGGTTACCTAGTGCCGCTCTGACAAGAATATACCACAAATGGGATGGCTAAAAAAACAGGAGTTTATGCTCTAACAGTTTGGAGGCTTTGAGTCCAAGTTCAAAAAGGTCCAGGGGTTGGGTTAAAGCCCCTCAACCTTGGGCTTCAGGTCTACCTCCTGCTCCCAGCCCACTGGAGCTAGAAGCTTTTCTTCACTCAGATAGCTACTGGCTACTGAGACTGAGAAGCCCAAGGTTGACAAGTAAAAAGGCACAGTCCCGATGTTACCAAATCACACGGCAGGCCATTAATTCAAATCTATTGAAAGGTCCAAGCTCGGCAGAGCATGGCAGGCTGCTGAACAATGACACAGCTACATGCAGGGTTCAAGTACACCATAAGCTAGAGACCATTCCCCAAATCTTCTCCTTATACACAGGAAGCAGACCACATCCCTAAGGCAGCTACTCAGCTGCTCCCAGTAGATTCCACCATGGAATTGATTACCAGTCTCATCATGGGGAATACTACATCCAGCTGCCCAGACACTCAACGAGGCCCAGCCAAGCTGATACACAAGCTTAACTACCACAGGCTCACACCATGACAAATGCTCAATAAACAGCACCAGGATTTCTTACACCTTTAACATCCAAGGCTGGATACATGCCTTCCAGCCAACCTGCTGGGGCTCTGCCCATCTACCCCTGGCACATTTGGTTCCAGGAGGTGACAAGGGCATCCTAGAACAACTGGCAACTCTCCATCTGAGAACTACCCTTGACTTGAGTGAGGAACAGGCCAGAAGTACCAGGGGAATCAATGCTCTCCAAAGCAGTGCTTGGCTAACAACAGATGAGCGTAAAGGGTAACTATAAGCAATCCACCTTCTACCCCTTTGGTGGATTAACACTAAGGCATGTTCGACAGCATCTCTTAGAGGTCTACAGTGGGAATAAGCCTTAAGTTGTCCACAGTAGTAAGCTGCTCACTGGTGCACCCTTTATGGGATTCCTTCCCTCCCTGTCTCACCTCCCCACCACCCTGCTGACACCCCCTGCGTACATCTTGAAAATAAACTCCTCCCACTCATCCTTGCCTTAGAGTCTGCTTTTCTACCTACAGAAAGATTAATCTTGAGCAGAACTGTTATCTATAACATCAACCTATAGGGTATTTGCACAGATTACATTCTACTTGTGTGTCTCAAACAAATAAACAAACATCAACACCAACAAAAAAAAAAAAGAGAGAGAAAAGAAAAGCAGCATGCATCTGCTGTGATTAAGCAGCCTTAACTTCTAAGTCCTCTAGGCCTTTAGAAATCAGTATAAAGTGACATACTTGTATTTCAGCCTTAGCCTAAGATGTCTGAGCTACCTGACCTGGCCTGTCTGAGACAGATTTAAGAAAGTTCTTACAGGAAAATGTCTATGCTCTACAAATCCTTCTCTGAGATCTGTCTTCACTCTACAAATATGTATGTGTGAGATGTGTTTCTTACTAAAGACACAGATTTCAAACTCATCATTTAGTTATCACTTTTTTTCTTTCCTCCTTGGAGGAATCTCTTTATATATACACACACACACTGAGCGTAAGTTAACTGAGCCAGCTTTCCTACGCAAGCAAGTACCCAGGAAGATAGCAGGATGGGCTTACCTTGGGAGAGGCACTGGTTGGCCAAGGCGACCTGACCAGAATGCAGATAGAGATTGAGCCTGGTGAAGATTCCCACCAGGGAGGGAATGGTAATGAAGCAGTACGCAACACAGGCCTAGAAGAAAGGGAGAGCTCCAGTAGGTTACGTAGGTTACGCCTGCAATGCTGTTAATTAACACTCCTGCTTGCACTCATCCCATATTTTCTAGTAACACTTAAAGCAATTAATCCCCCCACTGTGAGCCCCAATGGCTCTCTCTTGCCTCTGCTGTACCTGACAACATGTGGGAGGGTGGGGAGACAAGGGGATGATGATTTATGACAAATAAACACTTATCCATCATTGCAAGAAGGAGGTAATAACTAACACTGATAAATTAACTAACATCTGTTTAAACCAATTACTTAAAATTATGGAAAATATTAAAAGAAGAACTTGCTAAAAAGGGTTTGAGGCGACTGACTCTGAGGAAAGGCGTATGAGGTGAGAAAGGGCAGGGCTTGTTTGTTTATTTTTCATTGTAATCTTTTTGGTATGGTTTCATTTTTAAAATCATGGACATGCATTGCTTCAATAAAATTTAGAGTAGGGTACTCAAATAGCTGATTTTTTTTGTTGTTGCCTCTTGTCATTGTTCCAGACTTGTGCATGACTCTCGTTAAGAGGAAAAAAGGCATTAGGCCTTCCAAATCACAGGCCTGAGTCACAGAGGTAACTCGGCGGCACACAAACACAAAGCTGCCTCTCAACTACCTCCTCACAACACATATTAAAATTCAGACTCATTTGGTGGTTTCTTTCAAAAACATTAAGGACACTAATGAGCCCCCAGATACTCAAGGAAAAATTAATCTGAAAAATCAGTATTAAGTGACATACTTGTATTTTTCTGGGAACAGCAATTTAGTAACCCCCAAACTAAACTACTCACTGGCGTTCAAAGCCTGAGAGTCCTTAGCTTTAGAACATACCCGAACAAATGCAGCTGTCTTTCTGGAGTGATTTCCTTTCATTACTTTTCTTGTTTCCATTGCCAGCCGGTTCACACTCTGAATTTGTTAATAAACAGAAATAAAATGACAATGAAATGATGTCTGACTCAGATTAATGTCTTCCATAGAGATCTGGACATTAGCTACATACAAGGTGAAGAGGACAATCTGATTAGGGACAAGACTGGTTAGCACTGAACCCTGAAATGCCAAAGGGTCATCAGGCCTGATTCAATCTCGGCTTAAGCAAACATTTCCAGGAGAACAGAACAAAAGGCACTCAAGGATCAGTCATGCCTATCAACCAATATTAAGAATGACCATTTTCTGGTTTAATGAGTAGACAAGGTTCACTTACTCTAGTTTCCAGAAATCCCCCACATGAAGCTTAGAGATCTTAAAAGAAACATCCAAATCTAAGAGCAGGACAATTTAGCTGTGCAAGATGAACATCAAAAGGAATGTAGCAGCCACCACATCATCTATGATGTAGTAGGTGCTGTTCTCAGAGCTGCACATCACCATCTCATGTAAGCCTCACAACTTCATCAAGTGGGGCTACTACCTCCCCCTACATGTGAGGCGTCTCTGGACACTGGTCTTAAGTTTAGTGATGCTAAACCACTTGGTAATCAACAAACACATTGGAAAGGTTATTTTTCCTTAAATTTATATGAAACACTTGAGTAGCCTTAGGGAACTTTTCCACAGATAGGCAAACTTTGGCTGCATGGTTCTTAGACTGTGCACCATGGCACCCAAGGGCATAACAGCAAGCTCACAGGGGCACATCATGAGGAAAATGCAGCAGTACCCTAGAACTAAACACACTCGAAGCACCGGTGTGAGGGAGTGCAGATTCCACACTAGATCAATTACATTCCTTGCAGTGTTACCATCTTTCCAAAGCTGGGTTTGGACCAGTTGCTGAGATAAAAAGCAAGTACTGTGCAAAGATCAATGAGGAAAAGGAAATGAGGGGGGGTGTCCAATCCAATTTCAAGGTCTAAGAAGTCATGCTGTACCCAACAAGTACACATATCTCATTAAGAAGCAATTGTAATTAAGAAGAGTAAAATAAAAATAAAATTTTTCTTTCAATTTATGTATATTGTTCTTTCAACTGGCTACCAAGTTTTTGGGGGCATAGATACTGAAGTTGTTTGAAACTAATAGAATTGTTATTTATATCTTTTGGCCTGGCGGGGGGGCAGCACTGTGAAAAATTATTGAGATGCACCATGATGTGAGAAAGTTTTGGAACCTCTGCTTGAGACAAGAGACTCTAGCATTTCTATAACTAATTTATCAGTATAAATCCCTCAAGTGTTTGCTATTGGCATGTGGAAATAAGACTAAGCAAATATCAGCAAAAAAGAAGTTGACAGAAACCATTCAAAGATTTAAGTAACGTAGAAATCATTAACCTTTGAGAAACTACCTTTTGTACACTAGAGAGCAGCAGCACAGGATCAAATGAGCCCCAGATTAAGATCGCTGCCTGGCATGCAGATGATCAATAAATATGTGTCAAGAGAATGAATGATTGAAAATTCTTACGTGAATCAACTGCACAAGAACAGGTTCCAGATTACAAAACATCGACCTGGCCTCAACATAAAAGCTTAGCTGCTGTTCAAAATCACGGCCGAAGGAGACCTAGAACCAAGGAGGCAGATGTTGAAAAGGACAATGTTATTTCAAGGAACACAACTGAAATGGTTTTTCTTGAGATCTGTGTGGCTGGGGAGTGCTGTGATGACAATTTCCAGAAAGCTTAGATTTTTGGAAATTTAAAGGGAAGCCAAATTTAAAGCTAACATACATACCGGAATATTCTCTGTAGAAAGGCCTCACATGACTGTATGCAGCATATAACTAAAATATTACTATTTTACCTTGTTGATGTCAGCATTGAACTAGAATATAAAAAGGCCTAAGGGTATGAACAATCTCAAAATGTAAAAAGGATTTTCCAGCCTATGAGAAAAGCACTGGGAAGGAAATAATGGAATTTCACTTGTCAGTTCTGGCCTTTTCACAGAACATTAATTTGGTTACTGGGAACCATTTGTTAGAGGAGTTTCCCTAATAAAAGTCACACCTTTCTGTGTCCTGACGAGGATTCTGACCTCAGCAGCTCACTGGTGGCTGCCAGAGCCATGGACTGAATTGCTCTACCATTAAAATTCCCCTCTTCTATTTCTTCAAATTTATGAACAGCTGGTGAGTAGGACAAATGTTTTGGCTGTCCACGGTAGGTTTACTTAACATTACTGTTTCCATCATAGCTAACAAATTTCACACCTTATTTCCTCATACTCTTTTCCATATAACTGATTGACTGTCAGACAAAGCCATAAAAAGGATAAATATCACATGATCAGTACATAAATCAAGGGCACAGGCAAATCACCCAGTAAAACTTGAGTACATTTCCTAACATGAGAATTGAAAGGCTAACCCTGAATTTTCATCAAAATTGATATTTTACCCAGAGTCAGGAGGGCAGTTAAAATCAACCCTAATTGTTGAAAGTCACATTTTTAAGGTTATTTATAAAGTGATCTAAAAAACAAAAAACTCCAAACTCACTGCCATCAAGTCGATTTCGACTCATAGCAACCCCTCCTTGGGTTTCCGAGGTGGTATCTCTATGTAAGTAGATTGCCCAATTCTTCCTTCTGAGGAGTGGCTGGTGGGTTTGAACCACCAGCCTTCTGGTTAGCAGTCAAATGCCTTTGGCACTATACCATCAGAGCTCCTTAAAGTGATGTAAGCATTTTCATTTGAGTCAACTTTGATCCTGGTGTTCCTATTAAACTAGAAGACACTGGCAGCAGTTGGTATTTTTACTTTGCACACCAAGAATTAACACAAAGATTGTTCTGGCTAAGGATGGTGTGGCAGATCATGTCCAAAGATGGAGGCAATAATCCTGTCCTTTTGCTATGTCCCTTCACCACTCTTTCCATCAGGAGGTGGTATCTACTTCCTCTCCCCTCCACCAGCCAATACCACATGAAGCACACAGTTACCCAATCAACCCATGGATTTGTAAGAAGTAATAAATCACTGTGATTTCAACCCACTAACTTTGCGATGAGTTGTTACACAGCAACAAGTAACTGTATGGATGGTATTGTCTGTCCAGCATCCTTTTACCATCATCTGGTAATAGCAGGTCAGTTGCTTCAGGGTATCCCTCCTCCCTACTCTCGGTCCATGGTATTTGGGTAGAATGGGTACATATGTCTCCCAAGGCTGGCCAATCCACCTTCACTCCCCCTGCCCATCACCCAAATTAATCCAAAGAGGCTCAACCCTCAGACTTCTGCTGGAGTACCTCCTGCTGGTCGACAGGGCTGCAGGAAGGAAATCCAGAGATTATCTGAAGAGGAACCTGCCTGCTGCTCAGAAAGTGAGCCAAAGCCAGATGCAGAGAAAGGTCCTGATGATACACTGGAGACCCTGAGTCCAGCTGTTCCTCCAGAGAGCTACATCCCTGGATTTTTTGGTCACATGAGCCAATATGTATATACTTGTTCCCCATCCCCCAGCCCTTTAGTTTTCTTCGTAAGCCAGTTTGTCTTGGCTGTCTCTGCCCCCAGTGGAGTCCTGGCTAATGTATGATGTTTCCCAATTTCATCTTATCTCAATAAAAATGAAAAGTATCAGGGGACATAATATCAACTGCTATCATCAGAATGAAGATAAACAATTACATCACATCTCCAAATGCACTAAAACTTCTTCCCCAATACTTACCATTTTTATAAATCCATTAATCAAATATGCCAGCATTCTTTTCTCATCTTCAAGAGTGAGTGCACTAAAATCAATAATTGTACATAATTAACACTGGAGTAATACATGAGTTTCTAAAGGAAAAAAAAAAATACATTAAAAGGAAAGCAATCTAACAAGCCAGGACATTTTGTATCTTGTAGGTATAAAACCTCTAAAGGCCTATATACTTTTCTTGAGATAAAAATTTGTACAGTAATCTAAAAATAACATAATTTAAATATATTTCTCATTTCCTTCAAATATGTTAGATGTCATTCTCAAGATACATCTATAAACCAGGAAGAGAGAAGACACTTTCTCTTCTTTGAAATTTGGGTAGCAAAGTCTTAATTTGTATTTCATAGAAATTTCGTTAAATATTTTATTATAAAAAATTTCAAATACACAGTAACATTGAAAGAATTTTCTAATGAACAATTATATACCCACCACCAAGATCCTACCATTAACATTTTATAATATTTACTTTATAACTATTTCCCTCTCCACCTATCAATCTATCTTATTTTTAAGATATATTTCAAAGTGAATTGTAGAATGCCGTATTATTCTATTTAATAGGCAATGTAACACAAATATAAATAAGAAAATGTCAAGTCCTTATAGTTTTATTGTACAAATGTATAAAACAGTTCTCCAAATACATTTTTTAAATTTAAGAGCATCCAAAAACCAGGAACCAAGGTTTTTGTTTGTTAGTTTGTTCCATGGGGAGATAAAAGGATTGGCAAAGATTGCAAACTGCCTTCTGCTGTGCAATGTCTCCACCCTTTGAGACTGTATTTCCCAGTCTCCTCCTCCTCCCAGTCGCCATAGGTCTGTCCCTGTGACAGTTCTGGCCAATAGGTTGTAAATGCAAGTGATTTGGCACGCCTTCCAAGTCTTGTTCTTAATAGAAAGCTGCTGTTGTCCAATGCCTGCAGGCTGCAATGGTGGAGGGAAGACAGCTTCCACCATGCAGGCAAGGACCACATCCCAGAGAAATGGCACAGCAGCCAGACAGAGGAACTTGGGTCCCAGGATGATGTTCTGAAGCAGAGTGACCTCCAAACTCTTGACCTACCCACACTTTCACACAAGAAAAATAAACCTATTTTATTTAAACCAAAAAATCAAACTCACTGCCGTCAAGTTGATTCCTACTCATAACTACCCCTCCTTAGGTTTCCAAGGCAGTATCTCTATGGATGTAGATTGCCCAAGCCACTGTTATTTGTCTCTAGCATAGCAGGCTAATATCCTACAAATACAAGTGCCTTTCTGAATGTTCTTTGTGCCTTTATTTCTTTTTTTTTCCTAACTACAGTCTACCAGTTCTATTTATTATGAAAAGTCTTGATATTTTGATTTTTTTAACTATCCATGAATTTGAAAGCACTGAGTCATGAAAATAAATGATGCTAAAATATAAAAAAGATAAGAAATATAATTAATCTTATTGACATTTGTTATATTCCAAAATAACTTTCTCAATTCTTACTAACATTTTCCAACAAATCAATCTTCTGGGTTTAAACATTCTTTGGAGATTAAAATTTCAGACAAATAAGCTAGAATTGCCCTAAACACATTCAAATGGAAGTGTGAAAACAACCAGGAAGCAAAGGAGTGGAAATTCAGCCTTTGACCCCAGGGAAGACCTGTGGATAGGTCTGGACTTCAAGTACACTGAGCAAAGTAAGTGATTCAAGTAAGGAATACACGCACTTTCAAATTAAACCATCATGTTAGTGGATGAGTGAGCTCATTACTAAACTATCTGCTGTTCTCAGAAGCCTCTGGGAGATAGGGAGCTTGAGTTCAAACTTGGATGAACCCAGTCTGTTTTTCTCAACAGAAATCTCTCTATAAGAACATCTGCCATCTTCTTTTCTAAGGAAGGTTACCCTCAGGCTCCCTCCTCTCCTAGACCAGGATGTCCTCATTAGCAAAAATCTTAACACACTCAATAAAGTAGTATTATTCACAGTGGCAGTTTGAAACTAGCAATTCTTTAACGTAATATTAAGAGCCAATTCATGCTACAGTTCAGCTTTAAATGTGGCTTACTTCACAGAGTCATGCATGGTCTTACACACGTGCAAAAGGGCGTTCAGAATGACGGGGTCCTTGGTGGGCTCCTGCTGATGCCTAAGAAACATTTAAAGATAACAGTAAAGCTATGTCCACTAAGAGCAAAGAAAGCATGGATTTATTTCTCACCTACTGTTTATATTTGAGAAGCAGAAAACTAACTGGTTGGCATTTAATGTGGTCCAATTCACTAGCAATGGCCAATGTTCTGGTATTTCTTATTCTTCTTTAAGTAAGTTTGCTCTTCTACCTGTAGTATACCCATTGCCATCAAGTCAATTCTGACAACAGTGACCCTATAAGACAGAGTAGAACTGCCCCACAGGGTTCCATGTAACAACTGGTGTGTTTGAACCTTTCAGTCAGCAGCCAAGTGCTTAACCACTGCATCACCAGAGCTCTCACCGCCATACAGCTTCTCATGTTTGCAAAATTAGTGCAGAACTGCTACATTTTATAAAGCAGGCAAAGGGCATACCACTTGTTACAGTATGTTCTTGTACCTTCTGAAGCTGTTCCCAACCAGTCTATAACCATGTGAAGTGCCTGGCAAAAGTATTAATTTGGTTTTTCAAATCATATAATAAGGACAGACTCTTGTAATACATCTTTACATAAAGAAAGCAGGCATATATGTTTTGAACACACGGAATCAATTTTTTATCAACATAACACATCCACTGCCATCAATTTGATTTACAGCAACCCTATAGTACAGAGTGGTACTGCCCCATAGGGCTTCTAAGGCTATAAATCTTTATGAAAGCAGACTGCCTCATCTTTCTACCAAGGAGGGCCTGGTAGGTTCAAACTGGCAAACTTCTGGTTAGGAGCTGATTGCTTTAACCACTACAGCACCAGAGCTCCTTTAACATAACACAAGGAAAGATTAAAACATAATCATCTAGCTCAATTTTCCAAACTATAATTATCTGAGTTCCATCTTAACTTTTTTTTTTTTAACCATATCTATACTTAATATTTCAAGTGACTTTAACTATTTTTACTTAACCTTGTCCCAGGCAATAATATACATGAAATCATAGATCAAATAAGTCAGTTATATATTTTCTAATATACATTAAAATAAATACGTAACTTAAAAAGAAACCTTCTCCACATACTGGGTAAAATTATTTCATGTATGAACAGTAGTAGCAGTTTTAGGGAACACAGATTAAGTCAATAAAAGAGCAGGAATTTAATTTGAAAACTGGTGCCAAATTCATGAACTACACAGTAAACACTGAAAATGTAAATCTTTCCAGCTCTGGTAACTCTGATAAGCATTGCTTTCTCTTTTTTTTTTTTTTTTTATTGTGATTTGAGTGAAAGTTTATGGAAAAGGAAGTTTTCCGTTTAACAATTTATGTATATTTTGTTTTGTGCCTTGACTACAACCCGCACACTGTAAAATCACCCATCCTACTTCCTCCCTATGTTTACCATTTCCATTCCTCCTTCTTTCCTACTCCTTCCTGCTTTTGGAATTTTGTTCTTGGGCAAATATTGCCCTGTTGATCTTGAAGGATTGCCTGTTCTAAGGAGTGCATACCTCCCCAGTGTTACTGTTTACCTTATAGGATCGCCGATAGTTTGGCTGAAAGTTGATCTATAGCAGTGAGTTCAGTTCCAGGCTTGAAGGGTGACTATAACCTCTAGGGTTCCAAACAATAAGCCAGGTCATTTTTATGATTTTGAGTTTTGTTTCAAATTTTTCTCCCACTCTTCTAGGATCTTCTAAAGTGATCCTTCCCTTTCAAAGAGGTTGGTAGTGGCGCAGGGCACCATCTAGTTGTTCTTCTGGTCTCAGAGTCAGGGAGGCTGAGGTTTGTGTAATCAATTAGTCCTTTGGACTCACTATTTCCACGGGTCTGATTTTCTTCACTATTTGCTCCAGATGGGGAGAGACCAATGGTTGTACGTTAGGTGGCCATTTATAAGCTGTTAAGACCCCAGCAGCTACTCACCAAAATAGCATGCAGAACATTCTCTTTGTAGACTATGTCATGCCAACTGACCTCGATGTTCCCCAAGACTATGGTCCAGAGCCCCCTGGTCCAGTGACTTGAGTCCTTCAAGGTGCCTGATTGTGGCTGAGAAGTTTGCCCCTGTATGATCTATTACATTCATGGATATATTTGAAGCGCATGTTAATACATAAGTAGAAATATCTTCTGTCGTACCAATATATATTCAGTGGGTAGGCCCATTTGCTTCAGTAGGCCCCTGTTCAGCTTCAGTGTCTATCTATGTATCCACTCATAGATTATTGTTATTACCGTTATTGCTGAGGGAGCTCTGATGGCATAGTGACTAAGGCATCTGACTGCTAACCAGAAGGCTGGCAGTTCAAACCCCTCAGCTACTCCTTGGAAGGAAGATTGGGCAATCCACTTCTGTAGTGATACTGCCTCGAAAATCCAAGGAGAGATCACTATGAGTTGGATCCAACTCGACGGCTTTTAGTTTGGTTTGGTTTATGGTTATTGCCGAATGGTGTTTTACCTCTGTTGTCTTTAACTCTTGTGATCCTCCCAGTGCCTTGCTGTGCCTTATCATTCTGTGCTGATTTCCCCCTTAAACTGTATATTGCCTTTACCCAAGGCAATACAAGTCTAACCTTTAGTTACTAATTTACCTCCCTTCCCCTCTTACCCTGGTAACCATCAAAGAATGCTTCTTTCTGTGTGAAAACTTCTTCTTTACTTCGTATAATAATGATTTCCTTGTCCTTTTGTGATCAATTTCATTCAGCAGTATGTCCTCCAGGTTCACGCATGTTATGAGATGTTTCACAGATTCATCATTATTCCTTAATGTTGTATAGTACTCTTCCATTATACGTACCATAGTTAATTTATCCCTTTATGCACCGATGAAGATTTAGGCTATTTCCATCTTTTTGCTATTGGGAATAGTGCAGCAATGAACATGGATGTGCATATATCTATTCCTGTCATGGATCTTATTTCTACAGGATATATGCCTAATAGTGGGATTGCTGGATCACATGGTATTTCTAACTTGTAAAGGAAGTGCCATACTGTGTACCATTTTCTCCACACTCTTACCAGAATTTGTTGTTTTCTGAACTTTGTAATTCACGCTGAACTTTTGTTATATCTCACTATTTGCTTTTTTAAAAAAAGTTATTCTCCACTGTATTAGTTTTCTAGAGATGTGGAAAAACAAAATATTACAAAGTGTGTGGCTTAAAATGACAGAAATGTATTATCTCACAGTTTTAGAGGCTTCTTCCTATTGCTGTTGTAGGTGCCATCAATCTGGTTCCAACTCATAGTGACCCATGTACAAAAGAACCAAATGCTGCCCAGTCCTGCACCATCCTCCAATCGCTGCCATGTCTGAGCCCCTGCAGCAGCCGCTGTGTCCATCTATCTCATTGAGGGCCTCCCTCTTTTTCTCTGACTCTCTCCTTTACCAAACATGATGTACTTCTCCAGGGACTGATTCTTCCTGATAGCATGTCCAAAGTACATGATATGAAGTCTCACCATCCTTGCTTGGAAGAAGCATTTTGGCTGTATTTCTTCCAAGACAGATTTGTTCATTCTTCTAGTAATCCATGGTGTGTTCAATATTGTTTACCAACACCATAATTCAAAGGCATCAATTCTTCTTCAGTTTTCCATATTCATTGTCAAGCTTTTGCATACATATAAGGAGACTGAAAAGTGCCATGGCTTGAGTCAGGGGTACCTTAGTCCTCAAGGTGAGACCTTTGCTTTTTAACACTTTAAAGAGGACTTCTGCAGCACACTGCTGAACATAATACATCATTTGATTTGACTGCTCCTTTCATGGACACTGATGGTAGATCTAAGTAAAACGAAATCCTTGAAAACTTCAATCTTTTCTCCATTTATATGATGTTACTTATTGGTCCATTTGTGAGATTTTTGTTTTCTTTATGCTGAAGTATAATCTATAATGAAGGCTGCAGTCTTTGATCTTCACCAATAAGTACTTCAAGTCTTTGCTTTCAGCAAGGAAGGTTATATCATCTGCATATTGTAGGTGGTTCTCATTATCATTTTAATTTGCATCTCTCTAATGGTTAATATTAGAGCTCTGGTAGCATAGTGCCTAAGGCACTTGACTGCTAACCAGAAGGCTGGCGGTTCAAACCCACCAGATACTCCTTGGAAGGAAGGATGGGCAATCTACTTCCTCAGTGATACCACCTCGGCAACCCAAGGAGGTGTTGCCATGAGTCGGGGCCAACTCAACAGCACATAACAACAATGGTTAATTATCACAAGCATTTCTTCATAGTTATGTTGGCCACCTGAATGTTCTTTGGTGAAATGTCTGTTCATGTCCCCTGCCCAATTTTTAACTGCATTATTTATCTTTTTGTTGCTGAGGTATTGAATTTTTCTAAATATTTTAGTGAATAGTCCCTTGTTTAATAGGTCATTGCCAGTTTTTTTCTCCCAGTCTGTGGGTTATCTTTTCCTTTTATTTTCTTCATTATTTTTCATTTTTGCAGTGTTCCCTCCTCTCCTCTCCTACTCCTGGTAACCAATAACGTAAGTTTCCCTCCATATATAAAACTTTGCTTGACTTTTTACAATAATGAACTATACTTGTCCTTCTATGATTGACTTATTTCACTCCACATAATGTCCTTCAAGTTCATACACATTATGATGTGTTTTGGAGATTCAACATTATTCATTTTTTTTTTTTATTTATTGTGATTTGGATGAAGATTTACAGAGCAAATTCACTTTCCATACAGCAGTTCACATACACTGTCTCATGACAATGACCACAGTTTACCACAGTGCAACAGCTCCCCTCCCACTTCCTCCCCACAGTTACCTCTTCCTAGTGTCCATCCCTCCATGCACTCCTGCCCCCTAAGCTGTCTCCCTGTGCATGAGGAGCCCTTCTTTAGCACATAATTGTTCTCTCCAAGGAGTGTATCTACCAGAGGTAAATGTTCAACTCACATGCCTTTCTTTTGTTTGGCTGGAAAGCAAGGGTGTGGGTTCAATTCCAGACCTGAAGGGCAGCTAGGGGCCATA